AGGGAAAGGGACCCAGTTTCTGCTTGTGAAGTCCCCAAGACACACATTATTCACTAGTCTGCAGCGTTTTTACACATCTCCAAAAGCATGTAAAAACTTCCCAGAAAGCACTTGTTAAAGGGGTTTCCTCAACTATCTTAATGATTCTCCCTCTTCCTCTGCATCTAGTAAAGAAGGTGAAATGGGCAGGAGGGAGAAGTGACCAGAAGGCATTAAAGTCTAGATGTTTTGACTGGTGTAATGACTTGTAGAAGGCAATTATGAGCCGGTGGATCATGAGTGTTTTTAAAGTATAATTAGAGATTTTTTTTTTCTTCTGTACTCTGTAAGAAATGAGTAACAGTGTGTTCCATTGTAAACTGACGAATAGTAGATTCACACGATATGTTCAAGTTGGTGGGAAGTTGCATGTGGCCCTGCAAAAGGGCATTGGTTGATGCATTAGCCAGAAAAGATTCGAGTTTCCGATTTTATTTATTTATTTATTTATTTTTTATACCTAACTTACTTCAAAATTAGTACTATAGAGGAACAGGTGTTTGGGTGTTTGTAATATTCCATATGCAGAGATCATTTTCCTTGATGTTTTCAAGAGTTATTTTTAGCTCTTCATCAAGAGAGAATGTTCTGAACTTTTTGGATGCTTATACGCAAGAGCTAATCAAATTGAAGTATGACAGATGCGCATGGCAGGAGCCATGTGGGATCCAGCATCAGATCGAATCATACTGGTGAAGGGGGAGCCCCAACCTGGGTTCTCCCTGCACTGGCAAGTAGCAGGCTCCTCAGCTGCACAAGCTCATGGTGCAACCTGCAGCTGGCAGTCCCGTCAGCTGACAGGGCTCCCAGCCACAGGGGCATAGCTTACTAAATGCACATATGAAAGCTGGATAGAAACCAGCTATAAAGTTGTTATACATTTTCCAGCTCTAACTTTAAAATTGGATGGAACTTTTTTATAACATGATAGTTAATTTGCATGTGTAGCCAGTCCAGATCCACTGCACAGTTAACCAGTTAGTTGTGTAATACATATAATATGTAAAGGGGGCCTGAAAATAATAGTTAACAAGTAAGTTGCAGAGAGTCAAGGATTCTTTCTTTCACTCCTCACCCAGTTTTTTTGCCCCTCTAATTTTTTTTGAAGGATGTAGCATGGTCTTATAAGACCATCTGGGGATATGGGATTGGCCAGTTCAGGACCTGCTTTTCAAATTTGAGATAAGTCTCTTTTCAGGAAGTTAAACCCACATTGACGGTAGTACTGAAACTTCAGTGCTTTCATCCAGCTCCATCAGTGGGCATTAATCAGCTACAAAGAAATCCTGGGGTAAACGTTTCAGGTATTCCTTGGACTGTTCTCCATAGAAGAGAAGCTTAGACCCTTGTTTACTTCCACTGATGTTCAGATCCCTTGTCCTGGCTTCTCCTAGACCGGAAGAGTTGTGGTCTCTGTGGTTGTTTATACCCCACAGCTGGATGCAGATATTTTCCCCAGTTAGTCCCCCCCCTCCGGGGGGAGACTACAACAAATGCCCCCCAGATCCCTCCCTCCCTGACCATGAGGGGCATTTGTTGTAGGGACAGCTTCGGGGTGCCTTTTGAACTGCTAAATTTATCAAACAAGTGTTTGTTAACATTCCAAAATCAGAGCCAGCTTCAGATTTGACTTTCGGGTGTCCGCCTGTACGGTTTGCAGATGTGAAGGACTTGGTCCAAAGATCATTTTGAACTGCTTATTGCTTCTGGCTGGTTTAAATTTTGAATGTATTCATCTGTCTTTGCATCATTCTGTATTTTGCCTTGGTTTGATATTGCAGGATATAGGGGTAAAATACTGCCTCTGTATCTGCAATTGCTGCACCTCATGGGTGGGATGCTACCTGGCTAAGTACCACTGACAAGAATTTTCTAGTTGAAGAAGTCCTTCCACAAAACAAGAAGCCATCTATTAAGACCTGTTCCTCAATTCTCGTTTCTCAGCATAATCTGGACCCAGTTGAAGTTCCCATGTGAAAGATCTTTGATTAGTTGAATCATGAAGGAAAAATCTCATCATAAAGTGCATATATACCTACAGGAGGGTTCACACTGTCACCATCTTAGCAATTTACTGGGGGGGGAAGTACCTCTCCTTTCTATTTTGTGCCGCATCAAAATGTTAACCCTTGTAAGTAACGCTCTTGAAAGTAGATACAGCCTAGAAAGAACTCAATTCTTTTCTCTTAAAATGAGCAACTGAATTGTTGGCTAAGGTCTAGTGATGCATCTTGTGTAGATGCACATGAAAAATCCCAACTTTTGATTTATAGATTCCAGGTTGACCTTGCAAGGGATGAGTCAGAAAAAAAAAATATTTTTAGACTGAGCAAATCTGATATAGGTATGTTGAAATATGGTAACCACAGAAAACTGAAATATCACTTTTACTCCATTTTCAGATCAAAATTAGAGTTTATGTAAGCTTTCCTTAAGCAGTGAAACTGCTTCAGAATTTACAAGATTTCATAGGTTTTAGGGTCGGAAGGGACCTATTAGATCATAAAGTTGACTCAATGCTCTAGGCAGCAAAGAGTGCTGGGGTCAGATGACCCTAGCCAGGTCTTTGTCCAGTCTCCTCTTAAACACCGCTAAGAAATGACCCCAGCTGACTTCCTGCCCTTTGGGCAGGGGGCTGGACTCCATGATCTTCCGAGGTCCCTTCCAGCCCTAATGTCTATGAAATCTATGACGGGACAGCACCACCTCCCTTGGAAGCATATTCCATATTTTGGCAACCCTCACGGTAAAGAATTTTTTCCCGATGTCCAATATAAATTTTTTCTCCTTCAGTTTGTGGCCACTTCTAGTTGCCCCAATGGGCGCCCTGGTAAACATTGTATTCCGTATTTCCTGCTGTCTCCCTTCTCTCCCCCCCACGATGAGTTTGTAGATGGCCACAAGATCACCTTCTCTTGCGGAGGCTGAAGAGATTCAGGTCCCTCAATCTGTCCTTGTAGAGTTTTTCCTGTAGGCCTTTAACCAGATGAGTGGCCCTCCTCCGAACCCTTTCTAGGTTACCTACATCCTTCTTGAAGTGCAGCGCCCAAAACTGGATGCAGTACTCCAGCTGCAGCCTAACCAATGCCTCGTAGAGGGGAAGTATCACTTCCTTCGACCTGTTTGTGATGCACCTACTTATGCAAGAAAGAGCACAGTTAGCTTTACTTATTGCTTCATCACATCGGTGACTCGTGTTCCTTTTGGAGTCAACTACAACCCCAAGATCCCTCTCTGCTGTTGTGCTAGATGCACATCCCTAAATCATAGTGTAACAAAACAGGTGGTTTTCTTGTCTCGTTAGATAAATATTATATTCACCTAACTAAAAAAAAAAAAAACTAAAGAACTCTTCATTCAGGTAACACACTTAGTAAAGCTAAGTTCTGCTGCATATTTTGCCACTTTGTGACAGGTGAAAAGAAATCTGGTGCAAGTTGTTTACTTGTAAATAAGTTGGAAATTGATTTGCTCTAGTTTTGCAATGTGTAATGTAAAATACTATCTTAAAGGATTTTGAGGGTTTATTTGAAGTAGTTTACAGGATGTCACTCAAAGTTTGAATAACTTTACCCTTGCCTGTACCTGGTTGTTTTTACTAATGCAATCTGATCTCTAGAATTTCATTAGAAGGATTCAGTAGACTGGAATTCAGTAAATCTTATTCCTGTTTTTCAGAATGTTTGATGTGGGAGGCCAGAGATCAGAGCGAAAGAAATGGATTCATTGCTTCGAGGGTGTTACAGCAATAATCTTTTGTGTGGCGCTTAGTGATTATGACTTGGTCCTAGCTGAAGATGAGGAAATGGTAAATTGACTATAGTTTTGAAGGAAAAAACTGTCAGAGAGGTGGAAACTAAATAAGTTTGAAAGAAAAGTTAAGCATCTTAATGCGTAAATCTAATGTTATTTTCCATAAATAAATACCTCATTTTCTCTCATACAACCCACCCCCAAATAACATTTGTGCCTTGCTTTTGGGAAGGCAGAATGGAGAAAGAAGATTTTTTTTTTTGGAGAATGCTGGCTTCACAGAGCAAGGGCAGATCCTAATCTTTAGTTTACTTGCACCCCTTTTTCTGTGCAACTAAAAGCTGAGATCCTAGCTACTGCTGAAGACTGGTTTCCATGGGTGCTCTATGATTTTGAAAAGAGCTAAAGAGTCTCTTTCGAAATGGGAAAGAAGAGACCAGTAACAACTTGCAGACAGTAAAGAGAAAGGTTAGCCCTAAGAGTTTGTAGTTTGATTAGTGGAACATCAAGGCTATGAAAAAGGAGAGCAAATTTGATATAGGTATGTTGAAATATGGTACCAACAACCACCTGAAAAATAACTTTTACTATATTTTCGTATCAAAATTAGTGTTTTATATAAAGCTTTGTGGAATAGAAGTGGGTTGCTTCTATTCTGGACAGAAAATCAATTTTTCTGCTTATATTGTGCACCCCAGTTTTGGAGGGCAGATTTTTGGGGGAAAAGGTGCCTACAGTATGAGAGTAAATGTGGTAATCATCTACTTTGAGTGGGTGGTAGAAATAGTAGAAAATAGATGTGCCATATTTGATTTCCAGCTTCTCTAAGAGCAGTTGTACAGTAACCAGTTTTCAGTTGAATGCCGTTGAATTCTATTTAATAAAGATTTTTCTTAATATTTGCAACTGTGTACAGAAAAGAAACTAAGTTTTAAAATTATTAACTGTTATGCAAAACTACATTTATAACACGATGAAGGTGAAGTGGAAGGGGGGAGAATTTGTGAGAACCCACCCAAAAGCATGGGGTTCCTTGTCCATTGATGTTTGTATCCACAATTTCACACGTCACTCGGAGCAGGTTCCACGAGTCAATATGCAAAACCATTGGTCTGATGTAATATATTAGTGGTTTGACTCTTGTTAAATCAAATATTTCCTTATTTCACTAACAGAAGAGTATCCTTTAAATTACAGAATCGGATGCATGAGAGCATGAAATTGTTTGACAGCATCTGCAATAATAAATGGTTCACAGATACATCCATTATTCTTTTCCTAAACAAGAAGGATCTCTTTGAAGAAAAAATCAAAAGGAGTCCTCTCACTATTTGCTACCCTGAATATGCAGGTATTCTGTTACTTGAGGGGGTTTTTGTTTGGTTGGTTGTTTTTTACAGAAGTTGTTTTTTATTGCTTGTGATGCTGGAGCCAGTAAAAACAATGCATCTCTATTTGGAGGTCCAAAGTTGTTCAGTTAGGAGGGCCCATTTTACATATATATGGGACCATTTACTTTTTTTTACATATATACAGTAAAAGCTGTGTTAACCAGCATTTAATTAATCAGAACACAATATTAACCGGAATTTCTGGCCAGCCACATGTGGGAGGGGGGAGGCAAAGCTCTCATGCAACAGGGAAAGCTTGCTGCCACCCACCACCCTGTGTTGCCACAGCTCCACGTTCCCCCGCCCCTCTTCGCTCTGCATCAGTATATTAAAGTATGAGCTGAATTATGCTTTCACTCCCATAAGCTTTCTAGAGCTGTCAATATGAGTAAAGCAAAGAGGTTTTAATGCTACAATTGCTCATTGTGGACTAGGAGTGCTTTTGATAGGCAGTACTTGTTATCTCTTGACTACTGCCAGTAACAGTGTGAAAAGTCACAATTTAGTCTAAAAATATTCCAAAGTATAGTTAACTTTAGCTGAAAGATAGATAGATAGAAAAGTTTCCCCTCTATTTATTCCTAAATTTGACAATTTCAGTGTCTTTACAGCAATAAGTAGATATATTGTAAAGTGTTGTTTAGCTGGGACAGTTTAATTGATAACATTAACCAAACATTACAATATTTAATTGGAATAAAAAAACCTGTGTAATAATACTGGAAAAATTATATGAACAATATATTGAAAACGGATGCCTAAACCATTTTTCTAAATGGGTACAAGGTTTGGATACCATTTCAAAAAGTCACACAAACGTTTAGCTCATAGGAGGTTGAACCTAATAGGAGGTTTTTGAGGTGTAAGATAAATGTCTGTGTGAGGGCTTCTATATGCAACTAAAAAAATGTGTGTAAATACAAAAATAAAGGTTTGTTTATTTGGAAGGAAGGAGTGATTTTATTCAGGAGACTGCTGCTAGCAAAATTCAATAGTAATTTTAACATTCATTCAACATTAATTGCCTAGCCATTTTTCCTTCAGATAAAGTTAGTTGAGTTTTTAGACTTCTGGATGTACCCTTCAGCAAAGGCTATATGCTATAGCTTATGCTATACAATGAATTCCTGTAATGTTGTACAGGAAATATTGAAGGGAGTGAAAAAGAAAGAGGAAATAGACCATAAACAAGTTTAGGTATTTGAAAGAGTTGAAAGTAAGCAGATAGAATGAGAGAAGTGTCCTGCCTTGCCCCAGCCCACCTACAGCGGTGTCATGGAAGGAAATGTTGCTTGTTTGTGGACTAATTATAACCCCTTAATTGACCAACCATTTTTCCTTCAGGTAAAGTTGGTTTGAGTTTTTAGACTTCTGGATGTACCCTTCAGCAAAGGCTATATGCTATAGCTTAAAACAATAGTTGTGATGGAACCATAAACCAGTATAAGTTTCTTCATATTTAAATAATTCTCCAGTGCTTCTTTAAGAATAGCTGATGACTTCATTTCAAGTACACCATAAATATAGCATTTGTTGTACTAAATTTATGGAAGGGGTGTGATGAATGGAAATGAATTGATCAGTGAGATTTGTTCTGGTCTCAAATCCTAATTTATTGATGAACACACAAACAATATCAATATTTTAAGGAAGGCTTTTAATGCAACACTTAACCTTTTAAGCAAGCCCTAACAGTCAATATAATATTCTCAGACAAGTTTTCTGATGGATACAGTTCAATTCGCCAAGCATCTGTCACTTCCCCAGGGTTTGGTCATTGTTGTTTCTTTTCCTGTGTGCTGCTCTTCTCCAACTTTAAGTTTTTTCCTAGGTTTTTATACATCTTTTTTTACAGTTCTGTATGTTTCACAGGTCATAAATATTCACCAGTCATCTTTCACAGTGGTCATTTTCCTGCCAGGCTGGCTGTATCCTACAGTCTTGGACTGTTAAACCACATCCTCTTTTAACTTTTTGCTGACGTGAATTGTATAAAAAGGTCACTGTAACTCACTGGCCCTTACGTGTAGTTTGTTACACTAATTATTTCAAGGCAAAAAATGACATTGCTTATGCTAAGCATTTTGCTAAAGTGGCTTTCAGGTCTACACAATATTGCTACTTCATTTTAAACTTGCTACCTATGGATACCTTTTTTTTCTTCCATGCAGGATCAAATACTTACGAAGAAGCTGCTGCATATATTCAGTGTCAATTTGAAGATCTGAACAAGAGAAAAGATACAAAGGAAATTTACACTCATTTCACATGTGCCACGGATACCAAGAATGTGCAGTTTGTTTTTGATGCTGTAACTGATGTCATCATAAAAAATAACCTTAAAGACTGTGGCCTGTTCTAGGAATTTCCACTCAATGGTAATTGGTGTTCCTTTAGCAGAATCCGAAACGGGGCTCTACAGTATTTTGAATCAGTGCTATAAAGCATTTGTAAATAGACATCAGAACCTAATTCTCCTAATCTTATTTTTAGGTCTGAAGAATGGCTGACTCCACACAATTCTAATGTGATGAGTTTCAAGGTGAAAGAATCCAACCAGCTTGTGCTGAATGATAGACCAGTACTGTATTTGCCTGTTTTCACAGCTTTATTTATGTCTGTCTTGTAAATTTAAATAATTTAGGTAACACTGAAAGGTCTCTTGACTGAATGGATACTTGTAGGAATGTTGTTTGTATAAACATTGAACATAGCTCAGTGTCCTGTAAGTCCATGTTTTATGAGAATGCTCTGACAGGGGACATATATTTTTGCCTTTTGTTTATTTAAATGTCTTGTAAAAAAACAATTTTCTTTTTTTATTTTAAATATGCATGCTGCCTTACTCTTTGGTAGATTTTGCAAAACTAAAAGATTAGGCTTTTTGATGACCTAAAAGATTCTTACACTTGTTTAGATTTGAAGGGACATTGTCAATTCACATTTGTTCTTTAATCTTTTTTGAAAAAGAACTTGTTTTAAAACAAAAAAAGAACAGAGGTTTCCTGTGATTTTTTTATTTTTTTTTACCTGTCAGTGGAAGCAACTGATAGTAAAACAGTTTATAATCTGATAATTCAAATATTGCATTGAGATGTTAATGCGAAGGGGTTGTTTTCTGCTTGCCTCAGCAGAGCTAGAATCTGGATTTTCTTGTTTTGCATTTTTGTCGTAACAGAATGTAGTTTTACATATTAGATAACCATTAAAATTTGTTCTTTAAAAACAATAAAACAATCAAACTAATTGAATCATATACTGGATTTTTCTATTACAAATTATATAGCTGTTAATGAAATCAATGTCTTGGATATCATAGTATGATAGTTTGCAAATGTTGACTTTTTAATAGTTACTACTGCATAACTTTTTTTAACTTGACAATGTTCCTTTAAATGTTATTTCATAGAATTTCCTTTTAGTTTAATTAAACTTTTGCTGTAATGATTTACTGTATTAGACCTGCATTGTGCATTACCTTTATGGGTGGGGGTGTTTTTTATACATTTAAAAATGGGGAAAAATAATTTGTAAATAAGTTCTTGGATGGTTGTCCTTATCTTTCTTTTTATCATCTAAGAAATGTGAACATAGGTTTAAAAATATTGCTTTCTATAACAGTGGCAACACTCCTTGTAGCTATTGTGCACCCAAATTCTTTATCCGTGTGAGAAGGAAAAATGATTTTGAATCTGTTACTAGTTTTCCATGTTTTCTTAGGCAAATGAGTTTAGAAGTGTTTTGTTTAAATGTAACATTTTAATCCATTATGCTATTTTTGATAGTGTCTCTTTGTCATTTAGGGCTGTCAGATTGCCCCAGTAATTCTTGTCTGAGATCTTCCTCATTTTTGGCAGGTTCTGTTACTTGTTATGGAATTCATAAATGCTTTCAAGTGAAAGAGTAGAAGACTGGTAACATTAATATATTAATTATATAGTTGATTGAATGTGTTCATATCGAACATGCTAATTAGCAGTTATGGTAAACAGTTTGTACATCCTGGCCTATTTTAAATTCTGTTTTGTCATGCTGTATTCATAGCTGATTTTATGTATCATAGAAATACTTTAACAATTGTATTTATATCCATCTCATTACAGCTGTTTTTGTACTTTTAATGTAAAAAAAAAATTGGGATCAATCAAATTACTAAAGATTTATTAGTCTGAATTCTTTGTGCCTTGCCTGAAGGAGGAAACAAACAAACAAACAAAAAAGATGTTCATAAAATTTGTGGATGGAAGACTTGCCTCCACTTTGTGAAAATAAATGGGTCATAAGAATAAAAAAACCTGAGTAATTTCACATCGCCATGTATGTAAGAATTGTAAAAAACGAGCACAAATTGTTCACCATGTTGACAAATTCCTGAAACTTTATCCAGTGTAACTGTTGTAAACATCTTAATAAATTTTTTTTAAATTTTATTTGGAGATTTTTTTTCTGAAGCATGTACAGTATTTTCCCCATTTTTGTCCTAAATAATTATATTGGATATGCATCTCACAAGCATCTCCAGTCTAGACTTATGAACATTCCTCTCCTGATCTGATAGGTTGGCAGCCAGTCTTCACGTAGGCTTCATACAAAAGCTGATCATTTTGGTTCAGCTCAGGGATAAGCAACCCCCAAAATGCATGCCAATTAAAGGCTCGTGGAGACATTTTTTCCTGGCACACCCGAAGGTGTGCAAAGAAATTGTTAATTTTTTTTTTTTTAAGTTGCTGCTCCGGGATCTCTGGAGCAGCCACAAGTCCCTGCACTGTGGCAGGCACCAGGGGTGGAGTCAGGAGAACACAAGCAGGGTTGCTGACTGTTTTGCTGCCCCCACCCCCTATCCCTGAGCTGGCCCCTGGAAGGGAGCTGTGGGGTGGGTGGGCCCAGGGCCCAGGTAGGCATTGTGCAGGGCTGCTGCGCTGGAGGCTCCTAGTGGGTGGGAGAGCCCTTGGCCTTGCTGGGGCTTGTACAGGTGGAAGCCCTGTCCCACCCAGGTGGGGGCAGTATGGGGGGAGCTGCCCGTGGGCAGGTCGGCCCCTAGGTGGGGGCAGCACTGGGGTGCTGCGAAAGGGCACCAGGCTCTGGAGGGAGGCTCCCAGCTCCAGGTTCGATGTCTCTGCATGCTGGGCACAGTGTGAGCAGGGTGGAGCCACCCCTGGTGCAAAGGTCTGGGTGCAGGAGTCCCGTCCCCCCGTCCCCCCCCAGGCCCCAGGAACAGCCACCCTGCTGCCCCAGCCTTTCTAGACACTGGCCTTACCCACTTGCAGCTCCCTTCCAGGAGCTGGGGCCAGGGCCAAGGCCGGCGTTGGACATGGCTGCTTTGCAGGGTGGCTGCACTGCAGGCTCCTGCCCAGCTTTGCCCTAAGCACTATTTGTGGCAGCTATCCTGGGGGCCTCCTGTAGCCAGGCCATTGCACCAGGGGCAGCTCCGCCTCTAGTGCTGTGTCTGGTGTGCAGGGAGTGTCTGTCTCATCACATGTTTAACAAAAAAGTACACAAGTACAAAGTAGTATATGAAGCTTCATTTATTGTCACCAGGTTTAGAAATTTTAGAAAACCTGGTATTTACCATTGAAAAAAACCCAACATTTATGGTTATTAACTATGTTAATATGCAGTGTGTCCTGCCATGTACCCCCAGCCCCAGATTTATTTTTTCTGGCATGCTGGCATTCTGGCACCTTTCAAGGTAGACACTGCAGTCTTTTCGGCACTCTGGCCAAAAATGTTGCCTACCCAATAGCGGATATTGATTCTTTAGTAAAAACCAGACAAGTCTATGTAAGGTTTATGAAACAGTCTATATAAAAGCTGTTCACGTTTCTAGTTCTTTATTTTCCCTCTCTGTCCTCCTTTGCTGTCCCTATCACAAAATTAGAAAAGCATGTTCCAGAGAACCTAGGCTTATTCCTCCTCGAACAAAATGCTAAACACTTTGGGTGCCTGTAGACATGCAGAAATGCTGCTCTGATGTGCTATAATTGCAGCGTGTTAGATCAAACTGTGTTAGCATGCCCTAGCAGCCTCTGCATCTTGTGTATCAGTGTCCCTGTGCTCAAAATGGTGGTGGGGGGTACTTTAACTAAAGCTCATCGAATGATATCTTCTAATTTAAAGCGTCCCCTTTCTCTCCCCTGCCCCCCACGCCTCTGGAGCATGTGCAAATGCACCCTTTGGTTCCAACGTCCAGTTGATATTCATCACTCCATCCTGTGATCTGCTCTGGTACTCTAACCTAAGGTAGGCTACCTCTTCCCCTTCAAAATCTACCAAGCATTTTGGAGAATCGCTTCCAGGTGATCTTCCCAGACCTATTGTCTCTACATCTGGCAGGTTGAAGACTAGCTGATTAAGTTCTGCAGATAATAGCTGTTTAATGACCTGTAACTACAGCCTTAGAGCCAAAGCAGAATGCCACTTTTGGAAGAATGTGTTTTCATGAATCCATTCAGATGCATTCATCCCCCAGATTCTTCTGTTCCTTATACTTTTGAAATATTTATTGCCTTTTTAGATGCTCAAGATTCACACTTGATCTCTATCTCTATTAGAGATCATCTTGGTATTGAATGTCTGCTCAATTTCCACCTGTTGAAAGACTTGGAAAAGCCTCCAGAGGTTTTTAAAGTCTTATTTTATAATCTAATTAAAGAGCCATTACTTACCAGAGGCCCATTTTGTTTAATGGAATTTCCCTGTCACCTTCCCACGCTCATTATATCACTAATTTGTGAAACTGATATTTTTCTTGTGATCACATCAGCTTGCAGGTTGAATAAAATAAAATATTTTTGCCAAAAGTTTTCACACTTTCATATAAATTTATTTATATCTTCCCCCAATTTTTTCCGAAATCACATGATTCTCCTATAAAGGCTAAATTCCATTCATTAGGTGTTCTAAGGACTGTATCCTTTCATTTTCCAAACAAAGTCATTTAAATCATCTAGACTTTTTGTAGCTCTTGGTGACAAGTGTACAGAGAAGGGCGTTTCCTCTCAATGGGTTATAGAAAGCGCATTGAGATTCGTGGCGGTATTGGAGTACGTAATACTTGGACTCAGTGTCATTAGTCTTGATTACTGAGCTATGTAGACTACCTACTTGGGCACTAGTTTATACATGTTCTCATTGTTACTCTGTTGCAACTTCTGAATCAGATGCCAACTTGGAAGGGTTGTTCTACAGTTATATGAGACTCCTGTTATTTGCTACGTCGGGAGGTAAGTGTAAGGTATTTGCTTCCTGCAGGCTCTATATGGACAAAATGTCAAAGAAAGAGTTTACTTAAATGTTTTACTTTTATGTTGGTATGGAGTTCTTACCTGGCTTTCTGTTTTACTGAAGAAAATGAATGACAATTTGGTTTTCTTAGTCCTTTATACCAGTGGCACTAAACCTATTGGCCCTACAGGTAAGATGAGTGATGTGGGGCCAGTTAGTAGGTCCAACTGGACCCTGTGCACCAGCGTGGCAGGGCCTGCATCGCCTCCATCCAGTCTCATATGTAGGGATCAGACTCTGGGGACTTTGCACCACCCCCAGTTGAGCACACGGGGCTCCTAACAGTCCAGAAGATGTGGTGCCAAGGGCGAGATCTGACCTGCAGGATGGGAGTGAAGCACCTTTCTTTATGCCTTTCGCTGTAAAGGTGTGCAAAGATGTCAAGGCCTGACTAATAGGTTCCCAGATTGTGTGTTTGGGATATACACATTTAATGTGGGATACATATGGGCAAAAACATCTGAAAAGTAACTCCTCTTTTTCAGGTTGGACACAACAAAGAATGTTTGTTTCACATGATTTAAATTAGACCAGTATTAAAATGCTACTTTATCTTTAAAGTGGTGGTATCTGTAGATACTGGAAATACCTCCAAACTAAGTAGCAAAACTTCCCTGACACACTCGTGTATTCTAATTTTTTGTTATGTCTAAAAACATGACTGCACCCTTTCACTGTTCTCCATACACTTTTTTCCCTGGTCTAAGCAATTGGTGCGTTTTTTTTATTATTATTAACTGATGGCATTTAATATCAATTTCATGGAGGTCTGTTTCTTTTTAAAATGTATTGAAGAGCATCCTGACCGTTTTTAATTTGTTTTTAATTTGTTTCAAGCACTTTCTGTATGCTAATTTAGTATAGAATATATGAGCAATATACTAAAGTATTTGTCCTGGGAGAACAATTGAAGCAAAAGTTTATTTAAAGGAATAAGGCTCATTAGAATCATAGAAATGTTTACCTAGTCTCTTTTTCTGTCACCATCTCTTTTTCTTTTTTCTTTTCTTTTTGGTGTATAGTCTTAATTCTAAAGGACTTTTTTTGGTGATATCTTTTAATGGACCGGCTGTATATTTGGGAGAGATTAATAGATTCATAGATTGTAGAGTCAGAAGGGACCACAATGGATCATCGTGTCCGACCCCCTGCCCCCGGCAGGAAAGAGGACCAAGGTCAGATGACGCCAGCCAGGTGACTATCAAGCCTCTTCTTGAAGACCTCCAAGTTAGCAGATAGCACCATCTCTCTTGGAAGCCCATTCCAGATGTTAGACAACTTTCAGACACTAATTGTCTTTTTTCTAGTTTGGGAAACAGGAGCTTTGTTTTTCAACCAAATATTTATCTACCTAACGTAAGACACAGCTGTGACTTATGAGACACCAAAGCAGGAAAATAAAGTTGTATAATGCGCACCCTCATACCTCTGTGCAGACTACCCATGTCATAATTCAGGACGGTGTTAAGTTCCTTACTTAACAAAGTGAGACTTACTTTTCTCCAGGCCCCAAACCTCAGGCTCTTTTATTGAGGAACAAACAACTAACTGGAAAAATGAAAATAACTGGAACAACAGAGGGTGGAGTTCTAGCTCTCCAGCTCCATCCCATAGTAATGAGGACTAACAATTTAATCCTAAAATTGCACAATGATTACAAACAGCTTCTACTCTTCCATGCCCACTGGTGACCAGGAGTGGGAAAAACCTAACTCCCTACCATTCAAAGGTGCCTGCCAATGCTTCCGCTGATGCAGCGAGGAAAGTCACAGGTTATCTGTTATTTCTGTAAAGTAGGGTGACCAAAAGTCAGTTTTAACAAAAACCTCGTTTACTTGGAGACTGGCAGG